CAGCAGCTCAAGGGTCCTGGGAAGTGGACATGCCCCTGCCGCCTGCCGCCGGTCAGTGCTGCACCGGTCAGCCTCACGTGTAGGACAGACTCCAGAGAGGGACACTGCTGACCAGCAGGCCCGGCCCCGCACTAACACGGCTGGGAGAAATGGAGGCCCCGCACGAGGCCTGGCTCCGGGGCGGGAAGCACTCAGTCCTGCCTGGACATGGGGTCACCTCCTCCGGGAGGTGGCTGAGGGCTGGGCGTGGGCCGGCTGGGAAGGCAGTGGCAACAGCTCTGGTTGCCGGGTCCCAGGCCATGGCCACATCTGTCCACCCGAGAGCCGGCTCCCTGAGGGGCCTGTCCCCCCACACAAGCACTCTCCGCTCCTCTCCGCCTCCCCCTGCAGCTCTTCCTCACTCTGGGCTCCAGGCCCCGCCCTGTGCAGAACCGGATTCCTATCCAGACCTTGTGGCCACACGCATGTCCCAGAGCGCCCCGCTGCTGCCACTGCGTGGTGGGCACGCTCGCCGCGAGTCAGTGTGACTCTAACTGCACTTGGAGGCTGTGGTGCTGGTGGCGATGGCCGTGACGGTGAGAGAACCCGGTGGGGAGGCGGCTATGAAAGCCGGGAACTCAGAGTGTCCACGTGGCCAGGCGCTGCCTCAGCCCGGCTCTGCGTCCCTTGTCCACTCCCTCTGTGGCTCCGCAGGGAAGGGGCAAGACTAACACTCAGTCCACGCTCAGCGTGGGCGTCCCCCCTCCCCCCCCCGCCAGGGCCTCTCCAGAAGCTCAGAGTCCAGCCTGGCTCAGGGCCCCTCCCCCACTCACACAGGGCCTCCTGCCTCTGACTTCGGGGAGCACCCCTCCTCCCAGGCCCAGCCTGGCCTGGCTGTGGGCAGCCGGTGGTCTCCAGCTCCCTCTCGGACTGTGTCCTGCCCGGACGGGAGCCTGGTGTTCACACTCCTCCACGCCTCTTGCAGGACCCACTCAGGACAATCCGCACTCCCGGGTGCTCGCCTCGTCCGACAGGCGACAGGAGGGCCCCGGAAGTGCCTGGTCACTGAGGACACCAGGAGGCGCCTTGCTGGGCACAGGGCCAGAGGGTCGGGAAGTGAGAGCTGCACCCTCGGGGGCAACCTGTGCCAAGGCTGAGGGCAGAGCAGGGACGGAGCACCTGATGCCCACGCGGGCAGCACCTGCCCGCTCCCCGCCAGAGGAGAGGGGCTCAGGAGGGGAGGACAGAGGCCACCT